TATTTAAAGAGACATTGAGAACTGGATAAAAATTGGGTGGCAATGGAGGTCACTGTCACACTGGAGTTGTCTGTAACGCAAAAATGCCCATTAAGTCCAAGGGCACACGAGCGGTAAGAACAGCTTTACTCTATGGGTCCGAGTGTTGGGGAATTCGAAAAGACCGAAGGAAGACCGAAATAAATGAAAACTGTGCTGGGCGGTGGTTATAACTAAACTCGACAAAAATCGCAACTAATACATCCTAGGGACTTTTAAAGTACGCGAAATACAACAGAAAATATAAGAAAGTCAGTTACGTTGGTCCATACGTGAGCACGTGATGCGTCGGAGTAAAAACCATATAACGAAACAAGTGATGGTCTTTGCCGAAGGCAATAGAAGCAGAGGACGTCCACCGACCACCTGGGCTTCAACTTTCCACCAGGATCTATTCACAATGGGCCTAATACCGGTAATGACGCAAAACCGCCAAGAATAGCGTAAAAGTAGCGAAAGGAAATCAATCCCAAATAGGGAGATAGACAAGAGATTGATTGATATATCAGAATGTGTTCCTTTATTTTCATTTGTAAATTGTATACTGTTATCATAACAAATAGTAATTGCTAGCAAATAAAAAAATAAATAAATAAAAAAATTAAAAGGAACAAGAGTCGCGTGTTAAAGCTAGTCTGTTATAAATATTATTGTGCAATCGTAGAGCCAAGACAAAGGCAAAACGAGCTGCGAATGACTGGCGCTTTCAAAGCAACAGGTGGAAAATTGTTCAACTTTAAACTTCCATTGTACCCCGGGCACTCGTGCGAGGACTCCTCTACAATTACAACTAATCATTACACCTGCACTAACGACCTTCAATCGTCTAACAACTTCAAACATTTATTAGTTCCCTACAGTTAGTTACACTCCGCATCCGATATTATTTTCAAACGTTATTACTTCGTTAATAGCAAACAATATCACTGAGTACATTATGACGCGCATTATATCCTTGATGTGTTAACATTCCTTAGAACTAAGGTGTTATTCCTAAGTGCCCTGTAATTACACTGCCATGTCCAACCCTTCAAACCGAAACACAGCAAGCACACGTCGCAGAAACACGAGTGGCACAGAAATATCCAAACAGATGACTTTCAAAATCATCCTTTAAGATAACCTTTAACCTTCTTTTAAGGTAACGTTAACTAACACGGAAGTATACTGTGTTAGTTAACAATGCAGTGGGGGTTACATCGACTCGCGCGGCAGGTCACACGTGGTAACGCGAGTCGAGAAACGCTGATAAAGCCACCTACTAACTCGCCAAATTAGTTCTCAATAGTTAAAGCATAGATTCTAAAACTATTTCGCATTTATAAATGACTAACGAAGTTTCTAAAATAATATAAAGCTTATATTACCTACTCACTGATAATGCAGTTCTATTGATCAAAGAATTATTCAAACTACTCAACCATAATTTTTGAGTCTATCCATTACAAAGAAATAATCAAATCTTTCCTGATTACAATATTAGTCTAGACTAGAATATAGATTATAGACCAACCACTCCATCTGCGTGGCTGGGATATGTCGAATGAATGTGATAAAAAATCAGCGCAAGTCCTCAAATACTCTACTACAACTACGTGTCTCAGTGATTTATTGCAACATTAAAACACTAAGAGGTAATAAACAAATAAATAACACACTTTCTATAAACTTGATATAAACATAATAGGATTATCTTAAAACCTATCGCATGGTTATAATCATTGTACTTACTTGCAAAATGTTAACATAAAATGCAATTGAGCTAATAACACTAACGCGTTTAGCAAATATTGAAGCATTATTATTTCAATTATATTCTAGCTAGGTCGTACTAGCAACAATTTGTAGAACTAACAGAAATGAGAGAGAGAATATGAAATACATTCTATCTATCCTATTTAAGAGCTACGCTCTTGTCGGTGGAGCTCTTGCCATGAAATATATTGAATGAGATGAATTATAGTAACATTATTTAATCGCGCTTTGTTCAATGCACCGTCTAATTCGAGAGATGTTTATACGTAGACGTTACTGCAATCTAATGTCAATAAATCTAATTTAAAATTTTATTCAACAAAAGTTTTGCTTGTGACAGAATTCCGATAAACGAGATATTTGAATTTCGAACGCGGGGTCCTATATCTATATGTAGATATTGCTTTGCAGTGTGTCTACAAAGGAAAACGGTAGCATTTTTTTTAATGGATGATAATGGAATGGAAAACTCACTCGCGTTAACGATACACACTGGCGGAGCACCGGTGAGAAATAAAAAGCAGGTCAATTAGCCCATTGTGAAAAATATATCTGGGATTCAGCACGACAGTTTCCTGGGGAGACCACGTGGTCGAGCAGACAGGGCATATTACTGGTAACGGGACTGGTAGTCCGCATTACTAACAATCCCTTCTCTCCAAACGGCAGCATTAATCGTCATAAAATTAATATAAAATACCACAAGGTTAAGCCCTTTCAAATTTGTCGACGTAAGTGTGCAACGTAGTCACAGGGAGTGAAGACTAATTAAAAATCCCCTCGTTTTAAAACTTTGTTAAAAACTTAATCTTGGCAAAATGCTGTGCTCTTAGTTATCAAATAACTTTCAAAAATACTTATTTCTAGAATGTAAATACATTGTTTATGTATATATTTTGTCTCGATTTTTAAAACATCCAACACGCGACAAAGCCAAAGACAAAGACGCTGTTCTTCCGAAGGGTGAAATTTTAAATCCTTAAGTAGCGCGTAATTTTTATCACTGTCACCCTGTTTCCGGTTTATCATGCTTTCCATAATCTGTACAGCTATCGGAAATGATTGAAGCCGTATAATTCAATTTGAATTTCAACCAGATGTTTTGTGATAATACGATCCCGGTTTTTCCGTGATCCATGTTCAATGCCACGTCTCAACAAAGTTTGCCCCAACCTTCACTGAAGCCCCGTCTGTTTACGTTTCGTCCAATATAAATTATATTGGCTTATTTCTTCGGCTTATTTCAAAAACTTTTGCAATCAAATCTTTTTTCCTCATATCTCTGTGCCAAGGTCAAATATCCTGGTATAATCGACACTTCTATGGATTCAGTTATATAACTGCGTTGATGCGCCGATCGCTTGTTTATTTTTAAGAGCTAAACCAATCAGGGCTTACAAACAAATAGACATTGCAATCAGAGTATGCGTTTCGATCACTCGCACGTACGTTAGTCGTGTCGTAATATCTTTAAATTATTTAACGTCAATAAATTTGCGACAGCCCTCCCTAAACTATGCAGGGTCTGAAGTAATTTTGCGCCATTGTCACATTCACAAAGGAATATTTGCGAGTGTTGCGTTTAGACAATCTATTTATTTATTATATCTGTGGTGTCAAGGTCACCTAAAAACCAATAATTTGTACTGCATTCTTTATTTGTTTGCAGAGATTCCGTGTTGAGAGCGGAAGACACGGGGTCTTATTTAATTTTATTGAATGACAAATGTCTGTTGTGCTTGATGTCATTTATGCTTGTAAATAATAAATAGGGATAGAGAAAAGTGGCGTTTATAACACTTCGAAATGGCGTGAACGAACCTTTTTTTATTTCTCAGGGAAAGTGTAAAGATAAAATGTAGATTATTCGATTTTTTTTTTTATTTATTAATATATAAATATAACTGAATGGACAATCTAATCATCTTGATCTTCATATCAGTCTTTCACTGTCCACTGCTGAACATAAGCCTCTCGATTACGGTATTTTGCCAGTTTTGCCACGCTTGGCAATGCGGATTGGCAACCGCAGTTAGGCTTTAGAGATGTTTTAAGAGGGACGCAGCTGCCAATTCCTCAATCAATAATTTCCCTTAGTACCCCTCTCACGACACCCATGGGAAAAGAATAGGTGGTCTATTCTATGCCGGGACCACACAGCATTATATTATAATTAATGAATAAAAATCAAATTTTTTTTTAATTGTGGCGCTAAAAAAGCCGAAATCTTTTTGATTTCAGCATAAAGAACATTCGTAACCCCGGAAAGCTATCATATTTTTGTTATACTTGAAAAGGTAGAAATTTATACAAATAGAAATTTATTATATATATATATATATATATATATATATATATATATATCATCATCATCATCAGATATCATCACAAAAGTTATGAACTCTGATGTTCTTGATACTTGAATTAACCGTACTAGTAACAATATCTTCATCTAATGCTCGTTCAAGTAGATACGACTACTGGAACGAGCGTGGGGTTCAAGTAGTTGTTTTACCTACGCTGAAATGACAATGCGTGCGTTATTGTTTTTTTTCTTTATTTCACAAATAGTCAAACCAGCATGCGACTCGCCTGATAATAAGTCACTACCACTGCCCCTAAACACTCGCAATACTATAAAAATTAGCTAAGGTTCGGTATTTAAAAAATAAAAAATGGCTCCAGCTATATGACGACCTTGGCGGTGTAGCGGTTTAACACATCCTCACGAGTATATTTGTACTGATCTTAAAGTTTTCTATATAAAAATGTGTATATATATGTATGTATATGTATATATTGTATATATTGGGTATTGACCCATAGTACAAGTTTCTCAAATCGATAATGGATGGCGCTTTGTAAAATTTACTAAATTTTTACAAAAGTCGTTTGCTTGGGTACCTCGGTCCCATTCGTGTTTCAACCGTAAACCAGTTGTGGTTTGCATAGCTGTGTTTGGGTTTGAAGGGTGGGACATGGCGTGAATTTATAGGGTACAGAGGAATAACACTTGAGTCCTCAGGAATGACAACGCATGAGGGGTATCATGGGCGAAACAGTATACTCTGTTATGTCCATGGTACTGCTCATGTCTATAGGCGACGGTTACCACTTTCCATCAGGTGGGCCGTCAGCTTGTTTGCCATTCTAAGTTGTATAAAAATAAAAATAAAATATCCAGTGATGTTTATTGTTTTTAACAGGTCGATGCCTGCCAGTGCTGTGTGTTCACCTTTTCCACATCTACGGTCTGATTTCTTACTTCAACCTGGATGCGGCCAAAGCCTGGAAGCTGTTCAGCCTTATTGAAGAAGGCTACCATAGTACCAATCCATACCACAACTCTATCCATGCGGCCGATGTCACCCAGGCCATGCACTGCTTCTTGCAACAAAAACAGGTAACAACTTTAAAAATAACTAAATAAATCGAATAGTGTATAATCCACCATCTTTTGGCTGCGGCCATTTTAAAATGATATTATTTATTTTATCGTTAACTATTCAAGTAAATTTTTTAAAAGACTCATTTTCATTTTTAACGATATCTTATCTTCTTAGTCTCTTTACAACGAGAATTTTATATAATTACTATGTTGGTCATTTCCGACAATTATTTCGACTTCATTCAGAAATATTTAGAGGCGTACGATGGTTTGCGTTACACCGTTTCGAGGAATGCAGGACTAGATGGAGTCGAAATTACACGAACTATATCGTGCATGTGTGTACACACATACGCATACTTTAATTCTTTAATTTTATATTCATATTAACAGGGTTTACAGAATATACTCTATCCGCCATCTTGTAGTGGCAGCCATTTTGATAATGCTTTCAATATTGACCATAGTATAGTGTTGCATATTTTATTGTCACCAGAACAGAGGTGCGATATTTTAGCAAGATCAGTCAGGGGGAACTGGTTCTAATTCAGCTTGAACCTTGAAAGATTTCACCTAAACAAACAAACAAACATTGCAAATTAAATAAAAGCTTGCAGAAATAAACACGAATTAATGTTTATTTGTTATTTATCTTCCTTTTAAGCGACTTCCAAAAGAGGCTCTCAATTCGCTTGTTTTTGTGTATATAACGTGATATCTTCCCAAAGTCCCAAGGATTTTGTTAATTCCTTTTGTAATCGATAGTAGCCATATTAATTTCATCCCAATTTAACAATTGTTTTTATTTACAATTCAAAATATACTCGTAAACAAACTATTCGACGTTCTAAATTCAAATCGTCTCGACGTTCTAAATTCAAATATACGAACTGCATCGTCGTCATAGGTGCAATTTATTCATTTTAAAATAAGAATTGTCTGGCTATTGGACAATATTAAATTTGTGGCTGTTTTTTGGCAGAGAAAGATGTACTTGTTTCTATTTCACTATCCGATATTTATTGTTCTTTTTCGAATAGTTCCACTAAAATGAATACCTGCCATATCTACGTCAGAATAGCAAAACAAATTCATTAACTATTCTAATAACTGTTCAGAGTAGTAACGTTCGTCTTCGTCTACCAATTTCTCCGTATCCGTAGAGTTGGGAGTCTCAAGAGACCCCTAGGTTTGCGTTCGAAACGTAAATTGATCCCTACATATGTATACTGTGTGAAAATTTACTTCATGCAGACTACACCGCAAGTCTAATAATTCCACTCGCGTACCTTGTTTGATGTATCCTTCCATCTTTACTAATATTAAAATAAATGCAAAAGTAAGTTTGTTTGTTACCTTTTGGCGTCTTAAAAGCTTAATCAATTTATTCATGAAACTTTTTACGCACGTAGTATTCGAGAAAACGAAGGACATCGGCTACTTTTATCCTCGACAATCAATATATCTTGGGGATCCAAGTCGCCGAAAAAAAATATTAATAAAATAATTTAAAAAAATGATTCAGAAAGACTATTAAAATGAATAAAGAACTGTGTGATAGCCTTTACATTTCCACACTCTAAATTGTAAATGAAATATTATCGAGTTTGTGTAAACATAATATGTAGTGTATTCAATACGCTATTATACCTCTTATAGGAAATATTGAAAAGGATGAATGAGAGAAGAACACTAATTAAAACAATAGAGAATAGAAGAGGCAAAATGACAACATGACGACATCATAAAGAACATCCTAGAAGAATAGAGACAGAACAAACTAATAGGGGTATACCGAGAAATAACTACATGGGGCAGATAAAGGAAGGGCTAGGTATCATATCCTATAGGAACGTTAAAGACGTGCTCTAGAATAGAGGTGGTCGGAGAAGAATACATGAAATATTTGTTCCAAGAAAAAGAAACTCTTAAATAAATAAAAAAATATATTTACGCTAATTGACAGTCAACTGAAATTTATTGGAAAGTGCGCTCTCATCGAATTTCGAATTGTGGTTTTGACACTTGAGCTATGTCTCAATTAGATTTGTGTATTGCAAGAGATATTGAAGATAACGTTATCAACAAAAGAAATTAACTTTCCACGAGGAAATAAAATCTTGTTCGTATTAAAAACAATAAAAAAAAACAATAAACGAAGAAAAATATTTTACATGTAATAAGGAAATGTCGGTATAAAAATGAAAATGGACGTGCTATGTTGGTTCAGGCATGTGGAAAAAATGTCAGATGTTGATAAAACAAATATATAATGTGAATGTGGATTGATGCAGGTATCCAGAAGGACCTTGACTTTAATATCAGAGACCGTTTTCTATTTGATAAAGGAATCAATAGTCTCCGAAACTATAGTGCATACTTTAGACGAAGAAAGAATCTCAAACAATGAAGGCGAGGAAGAGCTTTGCTATACTGATTTTTTATCTGAAGTTGTCTCCGGAACTGACATGCACGCAAGAGTTACAAAAGTGGATGATGCAAGAAATACAGTAAGAATAAATAATTTTGGTATTCGGTTCTCTCTGCGCATCTTGCAACGGACTTGGCACGAGAATAGAAAAGATAAATATATGTATTAAACAAACTATTAAACTACATGTTAAAACTCATAATCCTTTTATTCACATTAGTGTCTCAATCAGTGGTATTTAAATTTAATATACATTCAGTGTGGATAAAGACAGATTATTTTTTACCTCGGTCATTTGTCACGCAGACAAGATTACTTGTATCGATTAGTTAACAACGATACAAGACCAACAAGGAAGTGAACCCTATCGATTACAAAAGTAATTGATAATATCGTTTGATGGTATCGACAATTACGTTGGCCTGGAATTGGCAATGTTATCATATAGCAAAGCCACAAAAAGGAAAAATAAATACAAACGAATTATAGGAGAGCATCTTTCATGAAATCTGCCCATTACGTAGATTTTGATGTCCGTTTAACTAAGCACATCAGTTGCAAAAGTTGAGGGTAAGAACAAGTAACAGTATAAATGGAAAACATTTTAACCGGACGTCTACAAATTGAGAAATTCTCGGTTAAATTCAAACTCGCAAATAACCCGGTGGTGCAGGTTAAATTGTAGTTTAGAACTGCAATTTGACTAAGTCTCAAAATCAATATTGCTGATTTTCAGTCTACCGAGTGCAAGCAATCCACAAACATTTCACATCAGAACTACATAAATTCAGTTCAACCGTGATAGAAATCGCATACGTCCGTTAGGAAACTGAAACTTGCAGTTGTAACATCAAAGCTTTGACTTACATACGCCATACGAGTTTCTACGTATTCGGACATTAGGTAGTCAGTGCGGATTGGAATAATTCTGTTAAAGGATGCCTTGTTTTGGAGAACAGAAATCAAGTAATTGATGCTCGAAAATTAGAGAGCCATATTTTCCGAGTGATTTTGAAAAACAAAGTGTCAGCAGAGTCATTGAACAGCGATTAAAGATTAATTGGTGTTCAACGTCTTGTTGTAGAGCAGGTATCTTTCTCTAATTTGCGTGTTAAAAATATATAAATGTATTTTTAATAACAATTTTTAACAAAATTTTTAACAATTTATAACAATATATTTAAAATTTAATATTTTAAATTACTTGTACATTGCAGTACATGAATAACGAATGGAGAAAAATAAATTTCCACATTTGAAGTTGAAAGTCTTGAAACTGATTAACAGAACCTTCTAGCAATTACTAAATCTTCATAAATACTAGAAAGACGTTGCAAAAACTCCAAGAAATTAAAGCAAATATTATGAATAATTCAAAACGATTTAATTTCCTTGAAGTTAAATAGCAAATATTGTTCTTTCAAAGTAAAATTATAAATGTCCTAGAATAAGAATAATTTTTATTCAAACAAACTTAATTACAAGCATTTGTAAGTAGTAATTTTTTTATGATTCTACCGCCCATTCGTAATGCAATTTCAACTAAGAAAACAAACAAGAAACTCAACTGTTGCATTTTTCAAACAAAATTTCATTTTACAATTATAAAGTGTGAACAGGGGCTACCAGAGGGTACAAAAGTTATTTAAATAACTAGTTAAATCAACCCCTAAAAGTTCGAGATAGGCTTTATTATTATGTTTTTATATATAAAAAATTTTACACCTGCTACCTGACCCGATAAACGTCGTTTTGTCATCTACCGCCACGTACTGACTCAATTTTTGGTATATATGTTTTACGTGAGTAGCATCATATCGTAACATTATTTCTTAAATGCTTATAAATTCAGCACCTTCACCTTCTAAAAGGACACAACATTCGAGTTCAAATCTGAAGGAGAGAAGGGTACCGTTTTTGTGGCAATTCTGCCTTATCTCACAAAAGAAAGTGCATGGTTGTCACTCCTACCCAAATCTTTGTTACACGACATTTCTGTCTTGATATACATTTCTTAATTTGACGTACACTTAAACATTTTGATATCATCTTATAAATAAATATATGTATAGTTAGTTCAATAGAAACTAATAAAAAAATAGCCAAGTTTTGGTGTAATTATTACACAAACCCTCTCTAAATGCAATTAGTAACGAATCAAAACATCCAATCAATTTATCGTTGTTTGATTTGTATTACAACCGGACATCTACAAACTGTTTTATGGTTTGTTTACATTTTCATTAACTTAGTATGTATTTATGTTATTGAAAGCCTGAAGCTGTTTTTAAGACGAAAACTTTAGAGTTTATTTTATAATCTGATAACAACCATTAGTTTATTTTGCCCGTATCCAATTTGAAATTCAAATCCAATACTAAATTGAGTATCTGAATTAATCTTGGCTCGGTGCTGTTAATTGTATTTTTTTTTTATTTTATTTTAAACTGAACGACCTATGAAATGTTGTTTTTTTTTTTTTTTGAATTATATAAATATTTCGGTCACTTATCCAGAAAATAATAGTCCATGTGTTCCAAGTTGACCTGAATAATTCCACTGATGCTCCTTTTCACTTTGCGTGTTACTGAAAGAAAGCTTTTTTAGAGTTAAGCTCGCCTTTGTACATTTATTTAACTCTGTCATATTTTTTATGTATTATCAATGTGTACAATAATGTATAAAATAAATAAATAAATAATTTATGTTTAAAATAAATAAATAAATAAATAAATAAACCTCACTAAAATCAATTGAGTACTTTCAGTTCTAATTGATGATTTTGATTGTCAATATTTAATGGAAATAATTGAAATAGTATCTAGAAACAGTTTGTATGTGAGAATAAAGTATTAAACTGCCTGACCAATGTAATACTAAGCTAATTAATAAATATCCTGTATTTTTACCAGAGGGAGACTTTGTACAAAAGTCGATTGCTTGGTTACCTCTGTCCCATTCGTGTTTCAGCCGTGAAGCAGTTGTGTTTGCATGGCTGTGTTTCGGTTTGAAGGGTGCGATGGCGTGAATTTACAGAGTACAGAGGAATAGCACCTGAGTCCTCAGGAATGGCAACGCATGAGAGGTATCATGGGCGAAACAGTATACTCTGTTATGTCCATGGTACTGCTCATGTCTACAGGCGACGGTTACCACTTCCCATCAGGTGGGCTGTCAGCTTGCTTGCCATTCTAAGTTGTATAAAAAAACCTGTTTTCTAGATTCATTGTTGTATCAATTTTATCTAAAATCTAGCCTTTTCATATTTTAATTTCGGTTTGAAGTGTAAGATACGGCAGTGAAATTACTCAGTTCTTCTGCCCTGAGTACTCTATAAAGAATAAAAACACTTAAAGCCACCTACGACAATGTATCACAAAGCTATTTATTGAAAGAGCGAACAACATTAAAGGCGGTACATAATCCTATTACATGAAAATCTTTCAATTAGACATATCAATTGGAAACTCTATAGAAAATAATACACAATGTTTCATTACACCCACAAAACAAATTCGCTTCGTTCTTTGTTACATTTAAAATCCTTTATAAGTAATGTACTTACATTTGTACTGTTGCCTTTTCAGCGAAAAATCTAAAAAGGATTTAATGTGTTTCTAGTTTGTTATATGTATGAGGATGTGTGTTAGGCACTTTGTTCTCTCTGTCAATAAGTGGTCTGCTTCCTTAGACAAGTGGGAAACGAATTTATTTAACGATCATACCGGTAGTCACGTTTACGCTGCTGTCTACATGAGATAGGACGAGACATTATCGTCTTGTGTTCTGTTTTTTTGTATACATATTGACATTAACATAACTGCCATAGATCAGTAACATCTAGATAGACTATCTCTCTACAAACGCTACGACAAAAACGGTTTAAGTTTTTATTTTTAAATGACGCACATTTAATATGAATTATTTTGTTAGTTTATTTATTTTAAAGTACTCGTACAGTTGTTTGTATCTTGAAAATAGTAACTGTTCACTACATTTGTGGGAATACAATTCAGGCTAAATATATTTACAATGTAATATCGGCCACGACTCGCTCCCGGTCAAGTAAATCTTGTAATTGATGACTGCTATAACACAAACTATTTATTTATTTATTTATACCTAATATATTGGGGTCCATTGTAATGCGCCATTTCTCTAAACCTATCTCTAATATTAATCTTTCAACTTGCTATCACAGTAAAATCTTTATTCTAAGGACCAATTAGAACTAAATTTCTAATAGATTTATTGAAGTCAAAATTATTATAATATCAATCCATAAAATACTAATTTCGCAAAATTATCTAATAAAGTGTTAGGATAAGGGATAGGTTTAGAAAAACACTGCCTCAGAAACAGTCCCATTATTTATACTCGTTATTCCAGACTTTAATACATTTGTATTAAAGATTATTCATTTGAAGAATTTAATAAAATAACTAGTCAGCTGAGAACTGACTGATCGTTTTTAGAGCGTTTTAATCCGAATGCTCCATCTATGTATGTACATATTACCTCAATGTTAATATATTTATTTAACCATACCAGATCCGGGATTACTTGGAACCGTTGGAGATAATGGCGTCCCTGCTGGCCGCTATAGCTCACGACATGGATCATCCTGGAGTAAACCAGCCATTCCTAATTGCAACCTCCAACCATCTGGCTGCACTATACAGAGTAAGTTTATATTGATTATCTAAAGATAAATTATTGTATTTATAAAAAAAAAGAACTAGTTGACTCGGCAAATGTTGTTTAAATTCAAACTCAAATCGTCTTTAATCTAATAGACTTGTTTTCGAGCATATTAAAACAGTCATTTGTATGAATCTACCGCAAGGTTCGGAATGTTGTTACCTGCTGAGAAGAACTTGCAAAATACTCGACAGTTACTCTTTTAAATCTCTGTAAACTTTTTATTTAGTTATACTAAAATTATGTGGTCATTAAAAAGCACGTTACATGATCATCGTGCACGTTTGTCATTCAAGTAATCGTTTAGTGTGTAAAACGGCTTCGTTCAATAAGAGTTTCTTAATAATGATTTTAAATTTATTAAAAGCTATTTTATTTTAACATTCAATGCCCATTCCCATAAAAGACCTATTAGCTTTTTCTGAACCATATTTTAGAACAGCAAGTTTGTATTTGTATCTAAAATTAAAATTATTGAAATCATTATTTTTAAGATACAATTGAAGATTCCTGCATATATATATATATATATATATATATATATATATATATATATATATATATATATATATATATATATATATACAGAATATTTGCGTATATAATTCTGTGTATCTACAGTGAGAATATTGGCTTCTTTAAATTTATCTTTTAATAATTTATGACCCCATAGAATAATTCGCGCGAATAAAACCTTTTTTGTAAAAGAAATACGCGTTGGATGTCGGTTGCTTTGCCCTATAACCATATTCAATAGGACAGTATACTTTGAAAATAAATAATCCGCCAGTCTTAGTATACTGTTTAACTCTGCACCTTATAGCATACGTCTCCCAACTTAATTTAATGACATAGTTTTGAATGTGAAGACTCCATTGAGTTTTATTATAAAGAGTGATTTCTAAAAAGACAATTTATAAAATCAAAAAGTTCTTTATTAAATTTAAAGTATAAATTAGGAATTTTAGAAAGGGGAAAATTTACACTTACATTTTGTTTTTCTAGCGTTCTACATTAGATTACTAGTTGTAAAACCAATGCAAGAGGTGCAGCAAAGCTCTATTAAAATTGTCCTAATTTTTATTTATTTTATCAGCATTAAAAATCTACGAGATATTATTTGCATACAATTATGCAACATTTACCCTGAATGACAAATGGGGGAACATTAATATAAACTAAAAGTAATAATGGGCCAAGAATAGACCCTTGAGGTACACTCATTCGCACAAAAAACCCGTTAGATATAACGCCATTTACATCAAGTTTTGAATTTGATCTGATAAATATGATTTGATTAAATTTAAAGCATTATGTATGATACCATAAAAAGAAAGATTTTTTGTGAAATAATTGTATGAGTATGTTTGATCATCACAAGCAAGTGTCTTAGACAGATCACATAAAACATGTTTTGCCTTACACCGCCAACTACCGGGTCCACTTCTTCTGATTAAAATAAAAACTATCTTATTTATCAAGATGGCACAAACAATCATCAGCGTCATCATGTCACCTGTTAACCGTCCACTGCTGAACATAAGCCTTCCCCATAAAGGGGTTTTTGCGAGTAATTCCCACGCTTGGCAGGCGGCTTGGCAACCGAAGTAAGGTTTTGGTGCTGTTTTAAGAGAGACGCTGCTACCCATTTCTTAACGCCGTGTGATTCTGGCATAGAATGGACTAACTCTTACTGTCCCATGGGTCTCGTAAGTGTCGACTAAGAGAACTTAATGGGCATAAGCAATACGAATTTTACAAAATTGTATTGAAATCGACAGAGCGATTAGGAGATTAGCGTGAATGAATATTTTATTTATTTATTTATTTACACTTTATTGCACCAAGTAAAAAGAGAAATAACAAATACAGTAAATATTAATGAGAAGTGATACAAAAGGCGGCCTTATCGCTAAGCAATCTCTTGCAGACAACCTTTTAACATACCTTTTTATTAAAAAGTATAAAAAATATCATATTGTAAATATATTTAGAGTCCAAAATGCGATAATGAATATAGAATCATTATCATCACATCAGCCTTTAACTATCCACTATGAATATAAGCCTCCCCCTTAAGGGGTTTTGCCGGTGGTTACCACGCTTGGCAGGCGGCTTGGCAACCGCAGTTTTTTTAATAAATGATAATGGAATGGTGACCCCGCCTGCGCTATCGGGATACACTGGCAGGGCATCAGTGAGGGATGATAAGTGAAAATGAAGCAAATCAGTTAGCCCATAGTGACAAATTCATCAATGAATCAATCACAATGCTTTCCAGCGGGAACCGCGAGGAGGTTGACCTGATAGGGTATATTGCTAGTAATAGAGTTGCTAATCCCCATTTCTAATAATCCCCTTTCCCCCTGGCAACCGCAGTTAGGCTCTAGAGGATGTTTTAAGAGGGCGCTGCTGCCCGTCTCTCGCTCTCCTTAGTCGCCTCTTACGACACCCACGGGAAAGGAAGGGGTGGCTTTTTCTATTCTACGTCGGGACCACACGGCGAATATTGAATGCATAATAATAAGTAACTTAAACATTATTAATAATGCACTCTTCTATACAGGCAATAATGATTTTGTTTAATATGCCATAATATTCATACAAATTTGATAAATTAACATCCATTTTTACTTGGATAATGTTACAAAGGCACTTTCATGTTTTTATTCTGTGTTGTACATGTTTATTTATAGGCTAGACGGTTACCACTTCTCACATCAGGTGGGCCGTTAAACCAAGTTTTATATAAAAGTATATAATTTATATGTATAAATTTATATATACCTGCCTATTTAAATAACTTACTCGTAGTTTATAAATTTATTAACAATTTTAATTAAACTTGCTAGTTACGCTTCCCTGATGTCAACATTTGTATGCAAGCAATGCAATTATATCTGTATTTTGTATGACAATAGTTATAAATTTTTTAATTTAATTTGAGTAATTTCAACTGTTGGGTGTCACCGGGTGAATGTAAATTATTGTTTTTATTAATTCGATGTCATTTAATTGTTGAATAATTTAATTCTATTTTATTATTTTTTTAAATACAAAGCATGCTGTGGTTGCTTCTAAATGTAAGAGAGCCGTAATCAACTAGTGTAATGTATCGAAATGTTTCGCTGTATCATATATTGGTGATCCTAAATAAATAAATAAATAGGAAAAAATACAAATGAAGATACAAATGGATTCGATGCAAAATTCCGCGAAGTGCACTGACAAACTAAGCTGAACTTCTTTTAAGTCGGGAATCACTTTATCCGAGGCGGTAACTACACGACACTCTCAATCCGGTATTACATTTAATAATTAAAACGTCTCCCCGTCGATAGTTGAGAATCGGGCGCTTCGATGGAGGCGATTAAATTTGAAACGTCTTTATAGCCGTAGTTGGGAACTTGCGGTCGTATTGGCGTAGTTTTATTGCACGAACTGTGTTTAAGAAATATATCAATTAATCAATCATCTTTATTCATATACATCTGTTACAGACTCTTATGATACGTCACATTATAATAATTACTATATAAAATAATATTAATTAAAAAAAATACAATAATTACAATTACAATTCATATTAATACTATATTCAAATCAATACATGTCATTTATTTTATAATATGCTTTTGTACAGAGAATCTTTTATATTTTATATATATATATATATATATATATATATATATATATATATATATATATATATATATATATATATATATATATATATATATATATATCTTATGTTTTATTTCAATTAAATGAAAAACGTTATCTGAAAATGTATACACTATATAGGTACGTAAACCCACTTATTGCATTTTTTTATTTACTTATTTAACTCTTTATTGCACCAAAAACATAAAAATAAACAATGACATATAAACAATTCAACTGAAATACAGTAGCATGGAGTACAGATTATAATATACATATAAAGGTACAAGAGGCGGTCTTATCGCTAGGGCAATCTCTTACACACAACCTTTGGTTAAAGGAGAACATATAGAAGTGGGTAGGTGGCGCTAGAGTGAATAAATAATTTTTACTTATACATTTTCATCGTCATTATTTCTTTTCGCAACACAGGGGGCAAACGAACATGCGGCTCACCTGATGATAAGTAACTACCGCCGCTCATAATCACCCACAACACCAGCGGCATTGCAGGTGTGCTGCCGGCCTTTTAAAAAGGAATATGCTCTTTTCTTGAAGGTTACGATGTCGTATCGGTTCGGAAATGCTGCTGCTATAATTTAATTACTCCACTTCAACCAAAGGTTGCCTGGAAGAGATCGCTCTTAGCGATAAGGTTGCCCATTGTTTTCTCATTGTGATTATTTCTTGTAATTATTTATATTTATAATAAGTTTACTATTGTAATCTTATGGAGGAAACAATAGTCTCTATCTATCCACAAATTAACTACTAATTTTGGGTTTTCGGATTTTCCCTTTACTTGTGCCACATGATATTGCTTCTTGCCAAATTATATGATTCTAGATCAACGGGAAGTACCCCTATAGGTTTTGATGCCCTTTGCGAAAGTCAAAACTGGCGATGTAAGTTGAACATAAACGGCCGTATCTTTAGATTGCATCGATTTAGAAGATTGATTTTTTTACTGCTTTAAGAGGTTGCAGACCTGAGTATATGATATTAATTTCAACTTGATACCTCCACGCGTTCCTAAGAAGAAAGAGCTTGACAGACGAACAGACGGACAACGAGATAATCCTAAAAGAGTTCTGTTTTTTCACTTTGGAGGTACAAAAGCCTAGAAAGAATGTAAAAATCGATTCAGAATCTGTAAAAATGGCTCTTAAGGCATACAAACAGTTGTGTTTGCATGTCTATGGTTCGGTTTGAAGGGTGGGATATGGTGTGAATTTACAGGGTACAGAGGAATAACACCTGAGTCCTCAGGAATGGCAACGCATGGGGCGTATCATGGGCGAAACAGTATACTCTGTTATGTCCATGGTACTGCTCATATCTATAGGCGACGGTTACCACTTTCCATCAGGTGGGCCGTCAGCTTGTTTGCCATTCTAAGTTGCATAATAAAAAAAGAAAAAAAAAAACAAACGAATTGAGATCTCCTTTTGCAAGATGCTTGAAGCTAATTATCTAGATTCTTATGGTTATGTATTTGAGTTTTTAATCTGATAACTCAGACGCTTTTCGTACAAACACCTGAAAGATAACGCGAGACCCAATTAAAACAACAACGGGCTGATCACAAGCGTAGATATAAATAGAAGCGCCACTGCCCCAGCTGTGCGCCCATTTTTTGCCCAAATAAGCGAAAAATGCCTCGCTTCCTACATGAAAGTAATGTTGGAATAATTTAAAATGTTATTTCGTAAATAACAGGTACATTTTGTTCAACGCAAAAACCAACTTCAATCGTTAACACTCGCGTCGGTGAACGACGACGGGTTACCTATGGAATTTTTGAAAATGTTTGAATTTAGAACGCGGAATTTGGGCTCCACAAAGAAAAGCGACATCTTCAATCGTCACATACTCGTAATTAATAAGAGAACAAAAATTTTGTAATGTTTCATTCACGAAATTTCTGTCCTGATATGTGTATGCTATTTTATTTCTTTTGTGGCTAGAAGTAATTATGGTAACATTTCGAATATATGTACTAATCATGTCTATAGGCGACGGTGACCACTTTCCATCAGGTGGGCCGTCAGCTTGTTCGCCATTCTAAGTTGTATAAAAAAAAACAAGAAATATGCATATTGGATCTACCTTTCATAAAATTTGAACGTTTTAATAAGAAATGACTAATAAATAAAGCCTTCATTTATCATCATATCAGACCTTAACTGTCCACTGCTGAACATAGGCCTCCCATTGGGGGGATTTTCCAGTAGTTGCCACGCTTGGCAGATGGATTGGTAACCGCAGTCAAGCTATAGATAGCTATAGACAGCTAGAGATACATGGACAATGTAATAATAAAGCTTTTCTATTACTTACAAGACAAACAAACGTGTCTAGCTGTAATTATATTATTTATAAATTATTATAACCTAAATTAAGTCTATGTCACACTGAATATATGTAAGTATATATATATATATATATGTTGCTGTCTTCTAGTCTGTATTCATCATAGAATGGGCCACCCCTTCCTTTCCCGGGGGTGTCGTAAGAGGCGGCTAATGAAACTCAATGGAGGGATGGACAGCAGCACCTCTCTGTAAACATCACTAAAGCCTAATTGTGGTTGCCAGTCCGCCTGCTAAGCATGGCAGCTATTGGCAAACCCCCCAAATAGAGGGAGGCCTATGTTCAGCAGTAAACAGGTAACGGGTTGATATGATGATGATGATATGACAGCATGGGTATATTCTTATTACCTATTCAACTATTTTGTCTCTTTCTTTTAAATTAAATTCTCAATTTGAAAAAAGTGACAAAACAGTGTAACAGCTAAAATAGACTTGCAGAAGATTTTAGTTTTTATGAATATTTATTTATTTATTCTTTATTGCATGATAAAACTTTGTACAGGTTTTTTTTTATACAACTTAGAATGGCATACAAGCTAACGGTAATCGTCGTCTATAGACATGAGCAGTACCATGGACATAACAGAGTATACTGTTTCGCCCATGATACCCCCCATGCGTTGCCATTCCTGAGGACTCAGATGTTATTCCCCTGTACCCTGTAAATTCACGCCCTTCAAACCCTTCAAACAAGCAAAGTGGCGAGCTTAATGCCATATGGCATTATCTACCAGCTACCCGTTAGGTAAAAACAGAAAGCGTATGAAGGGCAGATGTGGTGAAAAATATGTGACATAATATGAGGTAGATATGATAGTATTTCGTATGGTTAACTGTGATTACACCCTATATATCGTGCCGTTAAAATTAGACAAAATCGTGTCGTACTACGATAAATTATAAAAGAGCTCATTGAATATAAATAATTTTGATACCCTTCCATCATTTCAGGATCATATTAAATGACAAAGGCTTACGCTGTCCAGAACAAATTTGTCTTTGTTACTACCTACTGCTCTGATTACACAGCATGCATAAAGAGATGCAGGCTTGCGAATAGCAAAGGATATGTGCCCATTAATTAATCTCTTTATTCAGGCTTCGCGGTCGATGCACGCAGTACCTAAAACTGGGACTAAACATAATCTCACTATCAATATGTAAATTTTCACCTGACCTAGTAACGTTCACTTCTTTCTGTTAGGGGCTTAATTTCAAATTATTTTTTCCTCTTTTACCTAAAATAATATTATGGCTTATACACATTGCTATTGATCGTTTACAAATCCAATTGAAGTGACTATCCTTTTGTTAATTGATAACAATTTAAACTGAAACTCTTTGAGTTGCCAATTGGTCGTTTTGTTACGTCATCGACGATCGTTTCAGTCGATTTGTACTATCCGGTTAAGCGTAAATTGACACTGCATCAATAGCAAGTCAATGGAAATTGTCAATCACCCAACACATTAACAATCGCTACTGTTTGTCAAAATCATTGCATCGTGTTTTATTTGATCATATTGTAATTGCTCACAGAACACATCTGTCCTCGAGAATCACCACTGGCGCTCAGCCATCAGCTGCCTGATGGAAAGCGGTCTCCTTGACCAGATGAGGCATCTGCAGTCGAAGCTGGAGAACCAGATCAGCTCCCTGATCTTAGCCACTGACATCACCAGGCAACAGGAGTACCTCAGCCAGTTCAAGGTAAATATGTTTTTTGTCTACTGTTTGCACAGCGATTTGTTTTAAGGAATTATTGAATGCGATGTCAAAACCATTTATTTATTTATTTATTCCTTATTGACCACATAAAAAAATCTGGTACAAAAGGCGGACTTAATGCTATGTAGCAAGGGTGGCCAACTTGACTAGACCTAAGATCTATTGTTTACTGACGAAACTTTGTACGATCTACCAAATATATACTTCTTAAAATCTCAAATGAAACAACATAGTTCAGTATTCAATTACGTAGTATTCTAGTATTTTTTATTTAATGAAGAGGGAAAACATAAAACTGAAAATAATTCTTAGTAACTACTTGTTTATATTAATGTGAGCATTGTCTTTGAGCATCTTCCGCTAGATTAGCAAAATATTATATTTTTTTGATTTGCCACAATCGACCGGATTGGCTATTCCTGCTATATAGCATTGTCTACCAGTCCACCTTTGACAAAACAAAAATGTAATTATGCGGTGAAAAATTGATGTGGATAAACAGTTACAGACGTATTCATATTGACTTACAAATTATAATACATACAATGGAAAATTACTGCACCTTATGCCAAAATCATGTACGCTGATTGTAAACAAACTATAGTAATAAACATGCATACGGTTCGTCTGATGACAAACGATACACCGCGGTCTGTAAATATTAAATTCCCGTTTTGAAAAAGGTCAATCAATTCAAACGTAGCGTGTAACCTTTTATTATATGCTCCGTTTATTTCACCTAATATAATTGTATGATTTCCGGTTTTTAGGAATACGAATCCAGTGAAATAAGATTTTAGAAGACCCCAAAAAACCGTACTTGTCAATCCGTCTATCCGGCCACTACCAGGCCCTTTAGACAAGTGGCAAGCGAATTCGTCGATGGAATCGACATCGCTAGCGAGTCCGTGCGATAGAAAGAGAATAGCAATGTCGGGTGACTCATTCCAACTCATGGACTCGCTAGCGATGGCGATTCCATCGACGAATTCATTTGTCATTTATCTAAATGTCCTGGGCCTCTAAACAAGTCATCCGGCGTTGCCATCTCATTCTGTTTCACGGACTCGCTAGCGATGTCGATTCTATCGGACGAATACGCTTCCCACTTGTCTAGAGACCCTGGTCACTGATAGATTATTCTGATAGTATCAATTTGAAAATATAGTTGTTGGATTTATTTTATTACTGCCCGCGATTAAAAATTCGCGGGCAGAAATCTGTAACGTCTATTTTGATTGTTAGTTTTATAATTAAAATTGAGATCTTGAAAAAAAAAATACATGAAACGCTTTCCATTGTATTCCCGGAGAGAGTTGAAAAATTCACGTTTCGTGACGCATTTTTTCTTGGATTACTGGTAAACAAGTCTATTTGAATAAAGATTGATATGACTTTGATGATATCTCCACTTGTTTATATAAAATACAAGCACTGCCCGCGACTTTGGCCGGTAATCTACCACAATAAAGATAATCTATCGTTCCCTCTATATCTTGTCCAAATCCATATATATAGCAATATGTATGAGTTTGGGCCAATTATTATACACTGTCAATCATCATCCTATCAGCCTTTAACTGTCCACTGCTGAACATAATCCCCCTTGGGGGGGTTTACCATTAGTTGCCACAATTGGCAGATGGATTGGCAACCGCAGTTAGGCTTTGGAGATGTTTTAAAAGGCACGCTGCTGCCCATCCCTCGTCTTCCCTTAGTCGCCTCTTGCGACAGCCGCGGGAAAAGAAGGGTTAGCCTATTCTATGCCGGGCCTACACGGCCAAATCACTGTCAATAAAAAGGCAAATTCAATATATGTATATTCGAATTTAAATTTAACACATCTCTCCTTACAATTTCCCTTTGTTTCCTGACGCCAATATGAATCCAAAATCCAATTGTAACACGCTAGCGCTAGCTAGCTAGTAGTGACGGTGAATCAGTGACATTTTGATTGACACACAGTTCGGACAATGGCATTATCGAAATCTCTAAATAACTGTCAGACACATGGAATTTCCTTGTTGTATTCCTAAGAAACGAAACAAGCATATCGTTCCATTTCTTTGGACGTATATTGAAAGATAACATCAATTCCTTACATGATTACAATGTAACAATTTACTTAACATCGAGATAAAATTACATCCAGAACAAATTACCTAGTTTCACTGTTCAATTTTGTTTTACTCCCGTTTCAGGACGTATTTCATGTGACGTGACGTAACGAATGGAAGTACCCCTCCTTACTAAAATTTTAAATATGAAAGTGAGTATGTTTGTCACCCTTTAGCGCCTTAACCATCCATCTAATCGTCACGAATTTTTATATATTATACATGATGGAAGCATAGGCTACTATTTTTTTTTTATTTAAATTTTAATGCACAGTGAAACTATGTATTTATGGTGGACTTAACACCGGACGGTGTTCTCTACCAGTCGACCATTGGGCAAACCGAGAAATAAATAGGCGATGCATTATTGAATTAAGGAAATATTAAAAATAATACTTGATATATTATAAACATATTGTATAATAGTGCCAACACCGTGAGGTGAGGACCTGGTGATCTGTAACAGGTTTATCCTACTTCAGACACCAGTTCTTCACAATACATTAACTTATGTAACCTCCAAAAATAAATATATTAGAATATAATAGATATACAACTGGTATTGTGAAGAGAATAAATTTATTATTATTATTTAAACATTACAAAAATTCTCATCTCCCCTCTTAAGGAGAGGAGATGGCAACTAACCCCCGGCAGAAGCACAGTCGGCCGGGGTTCAGGGCCCCAGGGAGAGAAACCGGCGTACAATGCGGGCAGAATCTGTCTGAGATGTTGTTCCAGATTGGTTGGGATAAGACCGTTCACCGACATAACGATTGGAATGATTTCGGTAGATGTCACCCCCTACATTTCGGTTACCTCGTGAGCCAGGTCGAGATATTTTCTCTTTTTCTCGGTTTCGGCTTTCATGAAGTTCTCGTCATGCGGTATGGTGACATCCACCAAAAACACCCTCGAGAGTGCCCGATTATTACTATTATATAATTACGCTAATATATTAAATAGATAATAAATATTTATTTATTAATAATATTTATAAATAAATAAATATTTCATAATTATTACTATAACAAAATTTACTGTTTTAGAAGGGCAAATGAAACAATTTATCGCTTCTATATAACAATAGCGGAATGCATCTGGCTCTAAATCTTACGGGAATGATTTTAAACACATAAAGTCCCAGTCAATCGTCAGATCCCAATCACGTGGACGAAGTCATTGGTAAAAGTTGTATGAAATTATTTTTATGCTAAATATTTAAATTATTGTATTTCTCCATAAAAATGTGCTACGTCCACTCGTACGTAATATCGTGGTAGAAGTGGAAATTGAAGCCAAGCGGTCGGAAATTTTTTTTTGATGGGTGAAAATGGTATGGTATCCCCGCCCGCGCCAACGGGACACGCCGGCGGAGCACCAGTGAAGGGTGATAGATGAGAATGAAAACAGGTCAGTTAGCCCATCATGATGAATTCAGCGGGATTTAACCATGATAGTTTCCAGGGAGAACCGCGAAGAGGTCGACTTAGTTGGATATATTGCTAGCAATGGGATTCTCAGTCTCCATTACTAACAATCCTTTTCCCCCCGGCGGTGGGATATTAACTAGCAGTAACGTGAACAATGCAATAGTAAAGTGTACCAATCAGAGAGCGCGAGAGCCAAGCCGCTGACGGAATACTATTATTAATTAAACTATTTACTCATACAAATGTACAACAGTTCCGCACTGTACAATATTAATATAATATATTGCAGTACTTTGTAGTTATTTGTGGACACATGTTTGTACGTGAATAAATACGGGGAGCGCTTAGAACCCTCTTATCGGCACGTTTCGACTTTACAATACGATGTTTGTTAAATAGTGAGTTTAACAATAAATACAATTTTCCAGTATTTATATTGTGTAAATGTATATTTATCATCACGCTAGGTCTCTTACGGAGTAGCTGAAGACCCAATGTTAAAGACCACTCAGCATATATGAATAAATTTACTAAAATTTACTAAATATAATGATTACCTTTATTGCTATTACAATACCACAAAATTTATACATTTTGGAAAAGAGAATATTATACATAGATTACCACTGGAAGTGACACAGTATTCTGGCACTCGGCTCCTGGATATACAAAAAAAACAAGTAAATAAACCATAATATAAAAAATAATTATACAAGTCTAAAATAATAATAATAATAAAAGAATATGTCTTGCATCGTCCACTTTCATATCGTCTATTTTTATTTCTTACATACTATTACTAATGGAAATCTAAATATTTCTTTATAATTTCTCATCGTCAGATGATCAACAATTAAAGTGTTTAAAACTATATACTGAATCAAAAGATGAAGTAAATTCATCATCATACCAGCCACTCTCATATCCCAAACTTCAAACGGAAACACAACTGCATTTTTTTTAACAGCATAGGGGGCAAACGAACATGCGGCTCACCTGATGATAAATGACTACCGCCGCCCCTGATCACCCACAACACCAAAGACATTGCAGGTGTGCTGCCGGTCTTTTGAAAAGGAATATGCTCTTTTCTTGAAAGTTATGATGTTGTATTGGTTCGGAAATACTGCTGCTGGAAGTTGATTCCAAAGAGCGGTTGTATATGAAATAAAGTGCCTTGAAAAGTGCATAGCAGCACACCTGCAATGCCGTTGGTGTTATGGGTGATCATGGTCGGCGGTAGTCACTTACCATCAGGTGAGCCGCATGCTCGTTTGCCCCCTGCGTTGTAAAAAAAAAGCAACAGAAACTCTGGAGGATAGAAGTACCCAAGTAAAAATCTCCTGGTAAACAACAGTATGAAATTGAAGTAAGGACGTGAAAATAAAAATCTAACCATGCTGTGAAAAATTACTATATTAACCGTCCACTG